TTCGTGCCGACGGGCAGGGCCAGGTGAGGCCTGGGAGCAGGCGCCTCCCCTAAGTCTGCACCGGGAGCTGGGCAGTGCTGCCAAGACTCGATCTCAGGACTCCCGACTGTCGCGTTGCCTCCTTGTGGCCGTGTCTGCTCCCCGGGGGGCCGGTGCGCACAGGCCGGCCGCTGCAGCGCCTCGCCGGCCTGGCTCGGCCCTCTTTCCAAGTCCCAGCTCCCTGGCAGGCCTGGCTCACGGGCGCCTATTTAGCCGCTAGACTTGTTTTCCTCTCTTTGGGCTTATTTACCACGAATGTGTGTTTTTGGAAGCCTTGTTTCCAAGCCAAACAGTGGGAGTGAGATGCTTGTTTTGCGTCAGCAGCCCAACTGAGAGGCCAGGCTGGAGGCTGGGCTGGTGGCCGCTAGGCTGAGAGGGGTAATGTCTCCTTTGTTTCACCCCAACTGCCTTTCTCCCAGGGCCACAAAGGGCTGGGATCCTTGCCCTGGATTCTTGAGGAGGGGATGGAGATTCCTGGATCCTTGGATCTTAAGATGCTCTGCCAAACAGCATTGCTTGCTTCTTGTATTCTCTCATGTAGATCGCCATGAGCCTTGTAAGGCAGGCATGTGATTCCCATTTCACAGATGGAGAAATGAACTGAGGCCCAGAGAGGGAAAGTCACTTTCGGAAAGTCGTGCATCTGCTAACTAGCATAGCCGGGACTTGAACCTGTGCGTTCCGTCTCCAGAGCCCATGAGTTTACCTTTATGCTGTTCGGCCTCTAGGAAAGTTTACAACCACTCTGTGTAACAGGGTAGCCCCAACCACATGTGGTATTTAGATTTAAATTAATTAAAGTGAAATACAATTAAGAATTGAGTTCTTCATTTGCACTAGCAACGCGTTAAGTGTTTGAGAACCACATGTGGCCAGCAGCTGCCATAGTGGATGGTGCCTCATCTCAGAAAGTTCTATTGGATTGTTGCTTTATCAACATTTTGCTCCGATCAGATTTCATAATTACAGCTCAGATTCTGCACTTCACATATGGTTAAGTCTATGATTCCAAGACCCACAGTCTCAAATTCTATGATTCTGAGATCTCCCCCAGTTCTGACATTCGGTAACTTTTCAGTGCCCAGGGAGAGCTCGAGGGGAGCCCTTCATGTCTTGAGGGAGATGAACTGGGGGCTGGTGTACTTTTCCATCCCCAGAGTCTGTCCGAGGAGAGAGAAGTGACCTCAGCTCCAGGTCCTGCTGGCAGCCAAGCACGGGTGTCCAGCCATCTCCAGAGCAAACACAGGCAAAGGAAGGGACTTGATGTACGGAATGGGAGGAGGTGGTTGCAGTGGGATGAGGGTGAGCGGTGCCTGCGTCTGGTGACCACTGAGCCAAGGGAAACACTTTCTGTTCCTCCCCTGGCCTGCGCTGCCTTCCCTTCCTGCACCTCAGGCCAGTCCACAGCCCAGCTGGGCCCCATTCAGGTGAGCACCGGGGAGGGGGCAGCCACCAGGGAAACCGAGGTGGAGAGCGTGCCAGAGGTGTGGTGGGGCTGCCTGGGCCCTGGTTCAGCCCTGACACTCGGTGCCTCTGGGCTTCGGTTTTCTCATCTGTACTATAGGGCAGAAAGACATGCTCTGAGGCTTCAGTGCGACGATGGATTAGGAAGAACACTTTAAAACAGATAAACATATGCATCCTGGCCAGGTGGCTCAATTGGTTGGAGCATCATCCTGTGCACCAAAAGGCTGCGGGTTTGATCCCCATTCAGGGCACATACCCAGGTTGTGGGTTCCATCCCCAGCTGGGGTGTGTATGGGAGGCAGCCAACTGATGCATCTCTCTCTCTCCCTTAAACATATCCTCAGGCGAGGATTTAAAAAATAAATAAACATATGCATCATCTCCAACTAAAGAGCTACAGAGAAGGGAATTTTCATTTCATCCCGTCGTGTGCATGAAGGTGTCTATACTTTCACCAGGCACGCCAGGCTTAGGCTTGACAAGCAAAGGATGAGTGTGCAGCTGGTGAGTGGTGAACGCTGGGGTCTGACCCTGTGACCTGACCTCGCTGGGGTGACTGTTGTCCCCCATTAGCTTTGCAGGGCGGGCGCCTGGCCTCTTCGGCCTGTGGCGTTTGGCAAACCTCAGAGGCTCACCCCACGGCTCTGCAGGGCGCAGGGCTGTGCGTGCTCAAGGGGAGCTGCGTCTGGTCCCTCCGGGCCCATCATCTGGAGGGCACGGGTTCTGGGACTGGTGATGGGCAGAACCCCAAATCTGGCAAAACACTCTGCCAAGCTTTTGGGTCCTTTTCTTAACACTTTCACTGTCTGAATTTCTCCCCGCCCCTAAGCCATGGGGAGGGAGTTGGACAACTTGGAAGAGGCCTGGATGGTGCGCACGACTCCCTCCCTCCCAACCGCAGACTCCTCTTCGGGGAAGTGGGACTAGGCGCCCTCCCGTGCCTGTCTGCCCACCTGCCACATGTCAGAGGCTCTCAGGGGACAGTGTCGAAGTGAGCCCTTTAGAAACTACAAAGCATGGCAAGATTTAGCACTACTTTTCTCTTCTGGCTGCAAAGCTGGGGACAGCAGGGGGCCAAAAGTGTGCCCCTGGCAGAGACGTGCGGGCAGGTGACGAGACAGGACAGGTGGAAGAGATGCCAGCGAACCCTGCCCTGGTCAGAGAGGGGGGCGTGGCTCCTCTGCTCACGTGATGGAGACAGACCCTGGAGATCCCGGTCTTCCTTCCCGCCTCTCCAGCCAGGCTTCTTACACTGACAGTCCTAGCTGAGCTGTGTCTCCTGTGACATGCCCTCTCTGTCACTGGAGCCCAGACAAGGTGACTTTTTTTGCCCTAGCTGCCAGCCTCACTTTGACCCTTCACCTTCGATCTCAGACAAGTCCTTCATGGATGCTTTCTCTCCTGCTCCATCCGCCTGAAGCCAGATGCAGGAGTTGCTTTGCAAGAAGAGAGACTTTTCCAACTCTAGACCTGGGGGGAACAAGCCTACAACTGTGTGAGGGGTGGGGGGGGACACACTCCAAACACTGCCTGAAAGGGGAAGACTGGACTTTCTGGAGGCTGGGGCCAGGGTGAAGCTATGCCAAGCTCCCAGGCAGATTCCTTTACATTGCTGTTGGTTTCATACCATGCACACCCCGTGAAACAGGAGGAGAGGTTTGCGTTTCTGTTAGTCCAGTAGAGGGCTGCTATGAACTCTGCGCTTCCCCTGCCTGTGTCTGCTCTCCAAATACTAGGGTCCAAGAGAAAGTGTTCGTTGCCAGAGGCGATGCTGTGTGCCAAGACCAGCGTGTGCCGGTGCCGTTTGAAGGGCCCGGCCTACCACCTGGGCTCACCTAGTCTAACTCTCCCAGTTCATGGAAGCGGGGACCATGGGCTAGAGAGGGTGAAGGACTCATCACCGATTCACCGAAACGCTACTGAGGTGCAATGAGAATCCCTGGCGTGTAATTCAAAGCCGAGTGTTCTGAGTGTTTTTTCCATGCCTCCAAGGGGCTTGGTCGGTTGAGAGAACTTGGGAGGAACTAGGGGTGATAAGATCTGGAAGTTTGGGGGGGACGCTCGAGGGAAGACAGGGCAACAGTTCACCTCGACAATAGGCTCGTTGTGGGCAGCGGGAGTACAGCACAGGGAACAGAGTAGACCGGGAGACGTCTGAGGGAGGCGAATGTAGATCCATGTAAGGGAGAACTTTTAAAGGCATTTGAAAATGGAAGCACATTTAGTTAGAACAAGAAATAAAATGTCTTTGCCATTGATTCTCTCATAGGGATGGCATTTGGGGCATAGCATCACCCGAGGGGATTTGGCTTCAAGATCCCTACCAGTCAGGACAGTATTAGAGTCAAGCATTCAGCATTTAACCCTGGATGGTGTGGCTCAGTGGACTGAGCACTGGCCTGCAAACCTGAAGGGTCGCGGGTTCGATTCCCCTTTAGGGCATGTGCTTGGGTTGTGGGCCAGGTCCCCGATAGGGAGTGTGCAAGAGGCAACCACACCTTGATGTTTCGCTCTCTCTCTTTCTCCCTCCTTTTCTCTAAAAATAAATAAGTCATATCTTTAAAAAAAAAGAGTTTAGCATTTAAAGAGTGAGGTCTTAGCTGTGACCAGGACAGGAGAATTTCCTAGACCTCAGCTAATACCCTTTAGCTGTGAACACATAGCACACAGAAGCATCTGGACAGTCGGTCGCCCTGGAGGAGCCAGAGCTCCCCTTTCTGGGGACGCTGCCCTTTCTGGGCCGAATGGGGAGAAAATGCAGCCGCCCCCGGGTTTCCGCACGCTGCACTCCCGGGCCACTGTTCTTTGTCTCAGAATGTAGGTCTCATTGTCTTGGACTGGCAAGAAGTGGCTGCCTGTTAACTTCTTCCGTGACGGGGGGTAGGGAGGGAGAGGAAGAGGTGAAGGAGGAGGAGGAAGAGGAGGAAAGTCTGGGGGAGGAGGGGGAGGAAAGGAACTCTAGGACGTCAGGGATGGAAGGTCTTTGAATCAGGATCTGGTTCGGCATTGTCCACACTTGACAAACTAGCCAACCGTCTTCGGGATCACCTTTTAAAAGCCTAAAATAAACGTCCTGAGGAAGGAAACAGAGTGTGATTGCCGTAAATGGGGAAATCGGTGTACCTCAGTCCTCAATAGAAGGAAGCTGTAAAAATGTGTACAAAGAAGACAGAACAACTTTGTTGAGTTCCAGCTGGATACGGTTTCCCATGAAGGCTCTGAGCCAGGGCTGGCTCCGTGCGGAAGGACGACGGACGGGTGTCAGGGCGGGTGTCAGGGCGGGTATAAAGGCATCTCAGCGTCCTGCTAAGACGTTCTCGTGCAGCTGGGGCTCAGAGGGAATTTAGTAGAAGCAGGTCTTTCGCTATCCGTTAACACGCACATCTAGAACCACCTTGCATATCCCTGGAACCCCGGGGGGTGGGGTGGGGGGGGGAGGAGCCCTCCCTCCGCAGGTAGTCGCCTACTCATGAAGCTGCATCCTCTCTCCGCAGGGCTCCCAGCACCATGAAGGCCTGGATCTTCTTTCTCCTCTGCCTGGCCGGGAGGGCCCTGGCAGCCCCTGTAAGTACCCAGTCCCCAAAGAGCGTCTCTGCTTGGTCTTCCCTCCCCCCACAGCTTGGGGCCATTGACTCTGCCTGCTCTGGGTGCTCAGGAGGGACAGGGACTCCCCCATCTCAAGTTACATATCTTAGAGTTAAAAAAGTTTTCTTCCCCTTAAACTAAAAAGCTCAGGATAAAAACTGCAACGAGGACCCCTAGGTGGGAGATTCCAGGGAAAAGAGATTTCCTTGTAACAGGATGAAGTCTTTGGCAGGCGGAGTTCCTCGGACCTCAATGAGGATGTCTTCAGAGGGAGGAGACCCCTGTGCCACAGGGGGAATCCTAGTGGAGAGGGGGCGATGCTGGCGGGATGGTTTTAGAAGAGAGTCGAGCCACGGAGGGAGGGAGGGGTTAGTTTCCAAATCAGTGAGGGCTATTTGAATGCAAGCAGCAGACCGCAATCTGAGTCAACCAGGGGGAGAAGGGTAGAGAGGGGGGCTATAGAACCAAAGGCCTTGGGGGGGCTAGAAAAAGGGGGGACTGGGGGGTAAGAGCTGGTGAACAGTCTCCTTGCGGTTGCCATCGAAATAGATCTGCTCCAGCAGCTTCCACGTGAGAGAAGGTGCCAAGAAGGTTATTAGAAAATTCAGGGAGCGCCAGTCTGGCTGACCTGGGATGCTGGGCCTGCTTCTTGGCCAGGGGAGTGGGGGGCACCTTGACTGACACGGTCCCTCCGAGAACTGTGTGCAAGAGACCCGGGGTGGTTACGCAAAGCTGGCCCGGGAGCCGGTACCGGGGGAGGGGGGAAGAAACCTGGGCAGGCAGAAGGAAGAATTTCCTTCCACGTGTGGTTCCCCTACCCTCTCGTCACGAGCAGGTGTGAGTGATGGTACGTCTCTTGATCAGGTGAGCAGACGTTGGCAAAAGTTTTGACAAGGTTAAGAGTATTTTTAGAAATGGCCCCAGTTAGCCAGTGGCCTCAAAGTTATACGTTATCTCGCTTCTTCCTGCACCGAGTTGACACGGCAAGAAGGAACTGCCTGCCTAATTGTCATCATTACCACAGTCACACCACAATCACACCACATTGCGGGCAGAGAATGACAGCTGGTAGAATTCGTGGTGGTTGGCCGCCCTCTGGTCTGTTTTCCCCTCTGTGGCGGGGGGGAGGTGGTCTGCTTCGGTGGTTTTCAGACTTCACTGGCGTCAAAGCAGGGAAACGCACCCCAGGCTAAAGCTGAGGTGGACGCCTGAGACAGACAATGTATGAGGCCTGGGGTCCTCAGGGGCCCACGGGTCTCCATGGGTGCCTTCTCCTTTGCCCTGTTGTCCCACCCACGGCGGTCCCTGGGGCACAGCCTTGGGGATCTCCGGTGAGCTGCTCTCCTACCTCCCCAGGTTTAGGTTCCAGATCAGAAGCAGTTCAGAGGCAAAGCTGGCCTTGGCCTTGATCTTCCCCTCTCTGAACCCCATTTTCTCCTCCCAGCAGCAGCAGGAAGCCCTGCCTGATGAGACAGAGGTGGTGGAGGAAACCGTGGCTGAGGTGTCCGAGGTAGGTGGGTGGCGCCCAGACCCTCGCCCCTCTGGGCCCACATCTCTTCTCTGGGGAAACCAGACAGGTGCTGTGGGTCACCTGCTGCAACGGGGACATCTGTCCCCTTCTCATGTGCACACAGCACAGACAGAACCCTATATAGCCTCCAATCTTGACCTGCTACTGAATGCTTCCCAAACCTTCAGTGGAACCCTACAGGTGGAGCCACAGTTCTGAAGAGTTTTATTTCTTAAGCTGTGGGACCATTTTTCTTAGTTGGTCACCGGTCTCCCCATATAGCAAGCAGATGACAGGGGACCCCCCCTGCATGGCTGGCAGGGGTGGAAGGCTTGGCGCCACCTCTTGCCCTCACACCCCTGGTGGCCCCGACGCCTCTCGGGAGAACTGCAGGGCACAGCAGACAGTGGGTCTGGAAGGCGGATGCACCTTCTGGAGTGGGCACTGGTGCTCCCTGCAACCGGGCCCAGCCCGCCTCCACCTGGTCACCTTGCTGCCCCCTCATGGGGACCTAAAGCTTTCAGCAAGCCCCTTCCCGCCTTCAGCCCTTTCTTCCAGCTCTGGGATGAGGGTGGCGCCAACTGACTCACTCTTCTCCCTCCCACCCAGGTACCTGTGGGAGCCAACCCCGTCCAGGTGGAAGTAGGAGAATTTGAGGAAGGTGCCGAGGAAGCCGAAGAGGAGGTGGTGGCTGAGAGTAGGTCCCTCGCCACATCCCGTCTATGCCCTGTGTCGCCTGGGCATGGGACGTGGGCACAGCCCACAGGAGGTTCCTTCCCAAGGAAACGCAGGGCGGGGTCCTCCCTACAGGGGGTGCTGTGGAGGAGGAATGGCTTTGACTAAGAGGTCAGGACGTTCTCTGGAATCTGGGGGAGATCTAGTTATGGCCAGGCTGTCCCTGCTGCGAGAGGCAGAAAGGGAGGCTCAGCAGCGGCAACCAGCCTTCTCCCCTCAGGCCCTTGTCCCGAGGGGGGGCGGGGTTGCATCCTCAGGGAGGTCACTCGTCCCATGATCTCTGTGCTGGCCCCCGTCTTGGCCCAAGCCCCACTCAGGAGCAGACTTGAGAGGACCTCAGAGGCTTTCACACTCATTCACTCATTGGATTTTCACACAGCCATGGGGAAAGGAGGCCCCTCAAACCTGGCCTAACTCATAGAATGCTGTCCATGGAGTTAGTGCCAGAGACAGGGAGGATCCCGGGCCTCTGGCTCCGCCCGCCGTGCTGGCATCTCCATCCCACGGAGTGGAGAGGCATCGACCCTTGGGGTTCACAGCATGGACCTGACAGGCAAACCAGCCCAAGTTCTCACTCGGACTTGTCAGCCCTCTGCAGGCACCCCCACATTGCGTGCTCAGCTCCTCCGAGCCTCTGCATCAGCACCCCTGATGGGAGCAGGAGGGAGGCCGCAGGCCCTGGCCCCAGGGCTGGGGGGATCTGAGATGAAGCCTAAGAGCCCTTGGCCCAGGAGCCAGGCGTCAGGAGGAAAAGGCTACCTTGAGCTCTCATCCTGAGGGCACAGAGTTTTTGCTGCAGCGCAGGGGCGGCTACTGAATCCTGTTCCTTTTCCCCTTCCCCCTCCCCCCCATCCGGTGTTTTCCAGACTGGGCAGGGCTCTATTGTTCAGTGTGGGTCTCAGGACTCTTCTCCCTCTTCCCCTGCAGCCCCTCAAGCCTTTCTTGTTGGGCCTCACGGCTCTCTGGCTCCATGATGACAGCTGACTTTCCCACTTATTCTAGAAAGTCTATTCTAGAACCCCAAAGTGCCTCACTATGACTGACCAACCAACCAGGAGCTGAGAACACAATGGTTGCTTCAGTCCTCAGGGGAGCCGCATGGCACCCAGTGTGCCTGGCTCCCAGACTGAGCCCACCGCACCCGCGAAATGCGCGCGGCCGTGACCTCCCACTGGATCTTCAATCCCCAGGCTGAGCCGACTGCTCCCTTAAATGCTGACTCTGGGCTCAGCAGGAGGAGGGAGGATTCAGCTGCCTGAAGCCCAGGGTGGGGGGCACAGGCGAGGACTTCCGCCCCAGGATCACTCTGGATTGGGGCGGGGCGGGCGCGGATGTGCTAGCCCGGGTGGGGCTAACGTCACGCCCTTGCACTCCGCCAGACCCCTGCCAGAACCACCACTGCAAACACGGCAAGGTGTGCGAGCTGGATGAGAACAACACCCCCATGTGCGTGTGCCAGGACCCCACCAGCTGCCCTGCCCCCATCGGCGAGTTCGAGAAGGTGAGCGCGGAGGGACGCGGCGGAGGGCGGGGGACCGGCCCTTCCCCACACAGAGCATCTGCCTAGAAAACTGCTGGTTCCGAGGTCGCGCTGAGCAGCTCTGGTATCAAAAGTGTGCTCACGAGGCACAGTCACAGCAGGAAAGCGGAGGGGAGCCAGAGGTGGCGCTCTGCCTGTCACCGGAACTCTCCGGCAACCAGCGGAACCGATTCTGTAGCACCGAGCTCTGTGTCGGACTCGGGAGGGAACGCATCAGCACCAGGCGCTGGGCTTTCTCAACAAGGGAGCAGCCTGGCCCGGCTGCGGGTCCAAGGATGTGGGTTCTGGGTCAGACTGAAGGTTGACTTCAGACCCCACCTCCTCTTGCTATGAGATCTTGGCTAAGATGCTAAACTTTTCCAAGTTTCAGTTCTCTCATCTCTGAAGAGGGGACAGAAGTAGTCCCTTACCTCATAGAGTTATTGTGGGGACCTGCCAGATAACGCTGGGCACTTAGTAAGTACCCAGTGTGTGCTATTTTTAAAAATCATCCAAGTCCGTCCATTCTGCTCCTCATAGGACTCACTCAATCACCTGACCAGCCAGCCAGCCAAGTACATGTGTATTGAGTACGCGCCTGTGCCGACCATTGCACTACTGACCTGGCCAGGATAGCAAATCCAGCCCAGCCTCATCCCCACCATCTCTTCTCTGGGCACTCCACCTTCCCTCTCCCCAATACAACACACTCTCTGAACTGTAGATTTTAGCATCACCATCGTTGTCTCTTCCCTCCTCACCCCCATCCCACTGCTCACGGACTCCAAGTTTCCCTCTGCAGGGATGCATAAGCAAGTACATGCAGCAGCTTCAACCCAAGGCTCCCCCTGCTGACACTGGCTACTTTCTGCCGCTGCCCTTGGTCAGCCCTTGGCATCTCGGCTTGACCACCCCACACGCAGGGACTCACTGGGAGGATCCCCGTGACGCAGCAAACAGTTGTACTCACAGCTGAGATTGACTACAGAGACGTATTAAGGATGTACAGCTGGGCCCTGGCTGGTGTGGCTCAGTGGATTGAGCACCGGCCTGCGAACCAAAAGGTTGCAGGTTCGATTCCCAGTCAGGGTACATGCCTGGTTTGCAGGCTAGGTTCCCCAGTTGGGGGAGTGCAAGAGGCAACCAACTGGTGTATCTCTCACATAGTGATCTTCTTCTCCCTTCCTTCCCCTCTTGTGACATAAATAAAGAAAATCTTAAAAATAAAGAAGGATACACAGCTGGGTCATAGGGGAATAAGACCCAGGAAGGAATCCATGGTTAGTTAGACTTGCTTTGTCTCTCCCCCACTCATGATGGGTCTCATGCTCTTCCCCAGCTACAGAAATGTAGCCACAGTGGGCGATGATTCTGCCCAAGGAAGCCCATTACACTCAGTACCCAACATTTTACTTGGTAGTTGGCCATGCAGGCACCCTCTTCCTAGCACGTGCCCAAATTCCAGACCCCTGGAAGGAAAGCCGATGCTCAGCGTAATCCACATTGTTTGTACAGCAGCCTAGGCACAGCGAGCCACGTTTATCATTGGGAAGTTTTCTAACCCTGCAGGGACCTGTTTACCTGCCAGCTTCCCTGATGCCAGCCTAGGGCCAACTTGGCAAGCATCCCTTTGTAAGGATAACAGTCCCGGGCCTGCTGTGTTCACCCTTCTGCACCCTCTGTCTGTTCGCCGTCCCCGCCTTTAACTCATCCTGTCCACATCTTCCGGTTCCCCTGTATCTCAGCCCTGACTCAGGCGGGCCTCTGCTCGGAGGCCAACAGTGGCTCTCAGCGTGGGCTGCACTTTGGCCTGGGAGCCAGAGACTGCGCTTCTGCTGCAGCCCCACCCTCAGCTCACTCTGACCTTGGGCGCATCATGCTCCTAGCCGGGCCTCCAGTGCCCCCATCTCTGAAACAGGTGAGGGTGGCGGTACCAGCGAAGGGCTTTGGGAGTGGAGGTGAGGTGCTCTGTGCTTTGTCCACAGGTGTGCAGCAATGACAACAAGACCTTCGACTCTTCCTGCCACTTCTTTGCCACCAAGTGCACCCTGGAGGGCACCAAGAAGGGCCACAAACTCCACCTGGACTACATCGGACCCTGCAAATGTGAGTCTCCTGGGGCCCCCCAGCCTCCTGTTTTCGAGGGAGAGCACTGAGACGGGCACTGGTGCTGCTCTGCCACCCCCAGGCTGTGAGATCTTGGGCAAACCTCCCGTCTCTGAGCCTCGGGGTTCCCATTGACAAAACGAGATGACCGTCTGTGAGCAGGTGCCTTTCAGCTCTGCACCCAGAACCTCTCCCAGAAAGGACTGAGCGGCTGGGAAGCCCAGGGCAGGGGGCATTCCTTTCCTCTGGTGGTGAGGAAAAGCTGACAGGGTGAAGGAAAAATGATGCCCACCTGGACCTTAAAGTGTTTTTAGAATATTTGAATTTTAATGCTTTAAAAGAGGGGTATGTCTGTCAATTCCCCTTAGGCCTCTGTTACTCGGTATTGTCAGATCCTTGACCTTCTTGCTCCAGTACATTCCTGTCTGCCTACTTGAGACACGTGGTTGACCACCCTCTTCTAGAAACCCGGGAGGCAGGCGTTTGGAGGGGGAATGCCTGGGTGTTGTCGGGCCTTTTGGCAGTGGCCCCAGGTGCCAATTCAGCACGGGCAGCTCCCCTAGAATTTGAAGCACCCACGGCCACATTTGCTCCCCCTTCCATACAACACCATGTTGTGCGTCTGGGGCGTTCTGGCACTGGAGAGCGCCGTTCTCTCACTTGCCTCAGAGTGCAGAGCGCAGACACGCGGAGGGAAAACCAGGCTCTCCCACGGCCAGCCCTGCTCCCCCAGTCCTGGGGCCCAGGGTGTGCAGTAGGAAGGCACAGGCCTGGAGCAGGAGGCCGGGGCAGGAGCGTCAGTAGGATTCTTGGGCACTGAGACTGAGGAGTGAGCCAAGGAGCCTTTCCCATGCGGCTCTTGCTGTTCTCTGAGGCCTACTGCTCCCTTCCTCCAACTCTGAGTGTTTCCATCCCAGAGGTTCTTGGCCACTCCCCAGCTGCCGGTGGAGGAGACAGTGGTCCTAACCACAGAGGGGCTTTCCATAGAGGTCCAAGGGTGAGGGGAGAACGGGCCCTTGAGCCCCAGGCAGCCACGTGCCCTGGATGCCGGATGCAGCTCTGATAACGTGGCCTTGAGCAAGTCCCTCCTCTCTGTGCTGGCCTCCAATGAGTCCTGCATGAGTGGGGAGACTTGGATGGAATCTCCAGGCACAACATTCTGGGACTCTAAGTTCCGGAGACCAGGATGGAATAATTATCACTGAGAATATTCTGGGGGTTAAACATTCCTAACACCCCACTGTCCCCAACCCCGCTAAGCTGGGCCTGGGATGGATGTTATTCCTCAGCCTCCCAGTTTCAGACTCCTCCCAACGTCACCAGTGTGGGTCCTGGGCGCACCACCCAGAAGGGTGCAGGGGCCGTTGGAGCGATCAGGTCAAGGCCGAGGGAACTACAGACAGACCTTTGTGCTTTTCCATTTGCAGAGCTTTCTTCCCCACACATGACCGCCTTTGCTTGTGTGGCAGGAAGAAGCTGCGCCTTAGAGAGGCTGCGCCACGGTGCCCAGGGCACTGATTAAAGTAACCGTAGGAGGAAGGCATGGAGGGGGAGAGCTGGCATCCGTGCTGACCACCCTTGTGTTCTGGACCCCAGACATCCCCCCCTGCCTGGACTCCGAGCTGTCTGAGTTCCCCCTGCGCATGCGGGACTGGCTCAAGAACGTCCTGGTCACTCTGTACGAGAGGGACGAGGACAACAACCTGCTGACCGAGAAGCAGAAGCTGCGGGTAAGTGGTCTCTTTCCAGGGCACCTGCCTGGCCTGGGCTGGACAGCTCGTGGCCCTGGGCTGTCTGGGATCCCCAGTCCCCGGGTCAGAGCCAGGCCTCTGAGGGGAAGCCTCCAGCCCAGCCCCGACGGGAGCCTTCCTCCTGGCTGCTGGGACACGGACTGCTGCTTGCTGCCCTGGAGGTTCCTGGTGCACAGTCACATCTAAAGGCTCAGGGCAAGGGGGGTCCTGCAGAGAAGGGACCTGCTGCTCACTCTGCCCAGTTCAGTGTGAGACAGGAGGCACAAACCACCCTGCGCTTTTCCTCCCGAGTCTGTGCAGCTTAAATCTAATGGACACATCAAGCACTTGGAGTATTGATACAATGCAGATGCCCGGGCCCCACCTCTGGCCCACTGGATCAGTGTCCCTGTGCAGCAAGGCCCACGTGGGTCACTGTGATGTGGCAGCTCTATGGAGAGCCCTCTGAGATCACCCCAGGCCTCCACTTCTGTGGATGAGACGCCGATAACCCTTCTCTGCCGCTTCCTTCCCTCGTCTTGAACCCTGGGCTTGGCTGACCTCTGCCTGCTCTGGCCCCCTGTCAGAGGCAGGGGGGACCCTCGCCTGGTCTGGACGGTCTCCCTGGACCCTTTGTCACACACTGTCGCTCCGCTCCCACAGGTGAAGAAGATCCACGAGAATGAGAAGCGCCTGGAGGCTGGAGACCACCCCGTGGAGCTGCTGGCCCGGGACTTCGAGAAGAACTACAACATGTACATCTTCCCCGTGCACTGGCAGTTCGGCCAGCTGGACCAGCACCCCATCGACGGGTAAGACCCCGGCCCTCGGGATCTCGGGGAGGGGGCCCTGGCTCGGCCCTGCAGGGCATGAAGTCAGGGGTCGGGGTGGGTAGGTGCACTGAGTATGGCCAAAAATACCTCCCGGCATCCTCGGATGCTCCCGGCCCTGGAGCCCACAGTTTGCCTCAGGGCTGAGGCGGCAAGGGGCAGGCACCCTGAGAAAGGGCACAGAACTGGGAGGAAGCAAGCCGCAGATGCCCCCTCAAGCCAGAGGCGGAAGTCAGTGGGACCTGACAGTCCTTCCTTAGCCCTGCGAGTGCCGCAGGGGGTATCCATTTGTTGAGGGGGAGCGAGCTGAGAAGGAGTGCCAGACCCTGAAAGGGGTGGCGTGGGCGGAGCTGAGGCAGCCTGCACGCTCACAGTCCTTCAGCTACACCCTGAGATCCAGCCCCACAGCAAACCGGCCCTGGGAGTCCTTAAAAAATTCACGGAGCCAATGCCATCCACATTGTAGGCCTTCGGTTTGACGACTCTCGCCTCTGATCCCAGTGGGTTATGCCGGTGGTGCAACCGCACCACTGAATAGGCAGGCAGCGGGCCAGCAGACACGTACCGGGTGCCCGTTCTGTGCCCAGCACTACTGCAGGCAGGGGGTTTGACAGGAGTCAGGACTGATGCCGTCCTTGCCCGCATGGAGCTCACACTCTGGGTGATGATCTGTACCCGACAATCAAAGGAGAAAGTTAAAAATGTCCCCGGAAGGGGAAGGTAGTGGCTAGGCCACCTGTGGCTGAGCACCATGGCCTTCCGGCCCTCTCTGGCCCTGTGTTCCTGGAGGGGCCTGGAGGGCCCAGGGGGGCGGCTCTCTGGGAGGCTCATCCCATGCTCCGGCTCAAGCCCTTGTGCCTGGCACCTGCCCACCCTGTCGGTGACGGTGATCTCGGGTGGCTGGCGTCTCCTGAGCTCTGGGAAGCTTCCTGCTGCTTCTCTCCCAGGCTCTTTCCGTGGCTGGGATCCAACTGAGTCACTCACTGGGGGCAGGAGGGGAGAAGTCAGGGGACATCTGGAGCTCAGGCTGAGCAACTGGATCCCACTCCAAGGAAGGGGCCGGAAGCAGGCTTCCCGATGGGGCTGCGAGGACTATGCATCTGGCAAGCGCTGCAGCCTGAGCCAGGGGAGCCATCTTCCTCCTCCTCTGTCCTAGAGCTGCAGGGTGGCCTTGCCTGAGTCCCTTCCCCACCCTGGGCCTCAGTTTCCCTCCTGGTGTACAGTGCAAGGGGAGGGGTTGTTGCTTCCAGTTCAAGTGCTGTGTTCCTTCCATGAATTGGGTGGGGCAGGGAGGTCTGGGGGTTAGAGAGAAAACTCGAGTCACATTGCAGCCCCCGGGGAGGAGGGTTTTGAGGACAGGGCCCCGAGGGCCCTGAGGGGGAAGGCCAGCTGGACGAACAGGAATGGAGGACAGTGGGAGAGCAATTGGAAGGCCTCCCTCTCGCACGTTAGGTGATATACAAAGAAATGAAAGCTCTCTGTAGAGAACGAGAGCACCCTTTGCCCCCAGCCCCTTCCCACGCTCCTCCCTAGAAGCTGGCACTGTCGTCTTCCTGATGTCTGTTTTCAGACCCTTTTCTGTGCACTGGCCGCTGTGCAAATGTGTGTCTGCAGAAAACATGCAGTTTCAGAGCAGGTTTTGGTCTACTGATAGCAGAGGTGCTGAATATTTTCGTTCCAAGTTTCTGTGCCCCAGCTCTTAGACAACCGAGAAACAATTTAATGCGCCAAGAGGCCTTTGTTAGGAGCTCATGGGACCTCAGAACTGGAAGGGCCCTTAGACATTATGGCCCGCTCCTTCCCTGCTGATGGAGGGGGAAACTGAGGCTCAGCGTGGGGCAGTGCTGTGCTCCAAGTCCCTCAGCAAATCAGTGGCTTTCCCAGGCCTCAGGCCCCTTCTGCCTCCTCCCGCAGGTACCTGTCCCACACCGAGCTGGCCCCACTGCGTGCACCCCTCATCCCCATGGAGCACTGCACCACCCGCTTTTTCGAGACCTGTGACCTGGACAACGACAAGTACATCGCTCTGGACGAGTGGGCCGGCTGCTTCGGCATCAAGGAGAGTGAGTGTCTGAGCAGAGGGGCTACTGTCCTCCGCCTCCCTCCTACTCCTCCCTCTCTGTTGTCTGCTGTCTGTCCTCTCTGCCCATCTCTGCCCTCTCTGCCTACCTAACTCCTGTCTGAGCTCCATGTTTAGGTGACCTTGCTCTCTCAGGGGGCTTGCTGATCCTTCTCCACCACCAAGCGGCATCTTTCTCTTTCCCTTCTTCAAGCATTAGCACTCACTCTGTGCCTAGCACTGGTCTGGGGACTGGGAGGTACCTAGGGGGGAAAGAGGAGATGTCACTTGGCGGTGTACGTAAGCGACAGGGACAGGGAGACCAGAGTTCTCAGTCACTGACATGCTGGGTGAACCCTGGACTGGTCACCTGGTCCCCGGTCCTGGGGGTGGTGGGGTCCTCTGACTCCTCGGGAAGCCTGGCCGATCAATGATCGATGCACACGGGGCCTCGGGTCTGACCTGCTCTCTCTTCTTGTTTGCAGAGGATATTGACAAGGATCTCGTGATCTAAATCCACGCCTCCGTCCACAGTACCGGATGCTCTCTCTTTAACCTTCCCCTTCCCGTCTACCCCAATGTTTAAAATGTTTGGATGGTTTGTTGTTCTGCCTGGGGACAAGGTGCTAACGTAGATTTAAATGAACACATTAACGGTGCTAAAAATGGAAATTGTAGCAGCCCAAGTCATGACATTCTTCTTAGCTGGAACTCTGCCTCTTGCTCACCCACTAACAGTCCCAGTTCTCTCTGGCCGTCGGAAGCCCAGCCCGCTGTCTCTGTGGCAAATGGCTGGGAACTTCGGTCTGCTCGCATCTGCCTTGAACACGCACCGCATCTTCAGATTTGCTCTCGATTCCTCTGTTTCAAACTAACGCTCACTAAGTCAAACTTCTGCGTTACCTTCATTTCAGGGTGTTGGCTGTGGGGGTGGGGCCGGGGGTTCTTCCCCGCGTAGCCTGAAGGTGGGTGAAAGGAAGTAAGAGACGACGTTTCTGGGACTAGAGGCCTGGTGGTGGGGGAGATCCCAGGAGAACCACCAGCCGGAGCGGCTGGCTGCTGACCAGTCGTCTCTGCGGGGCCTGGACTGGAAGAGCCCGAGGTTAGGAAGCACGGACGCTCTCGTTTAAACCCGGTTCCTCACCATTTCCCGCGTCATCTCTCGGTGCCTTTATTTCACCTTAGGCAGTTTGTTCAGATTTTGGGAGCCGTGGACCACCAACCAGTTCTCTGGAGCCCACCGAGCCTGGTGGGCTTCTCCCCTCCGAACTGTCTGGGAGAGGCGGGCTGGGGGCTGTTTCAGCCAGGATCAAGGGTGAGGTGGAGAAAGTTGCAAAAGAGAAAAAGTGGAGTTAGCGGATTGGTTTTGTTTTCGGAGGGATTTTTTTTTTCTTTTCGTTTTTGGATGGCTGTCATGAGGGGCCTTTCCCTCGATTTCTAGCATGTTCCTCCTTTTCCCCCCCTCTTTTCTTTTTTTTTCCATTAATCAAGAGAAACTTCGAAGTCAATGGGATGGTCAGATCTCACAGGCTGAGAACTCCTTCACCTCCAAGCATTTCATGAAAAAGCTGCTTCTCATTAATCATGCAGGCTCTCACCATGTTGTGGCGAGTTTGACAAATCTTTCAAAATAAAAGTAATGACTTAGAAACGGCCTTCCTGAGTGATTTTGCCTGTGTCTGAGTCACCTCGTCACCCTGACATGCAGACCCGTGGACTTACGCGTGTACATATGACTACACACATACTAACTTTTGCAAACACTTACGTTTTTAAACACACACAGGCTTATTTATGCACAAGGAATGTATGATTCCTATAAGAACAAATTTGGCTTATTTTTATGACTTGTAGACTTTTCATTACTACACTTCACTAGCAGATGCAACAGGCTAAGCAACTATCTCCTTTCACTAATCATTCATCCATCCACCCATCCACCCGTCCATTTATTCAACACATGTTTATGACGTGCCTACTATGCCAGGTCCCATGCCAGGTGCTGGAGACACAATTGTGGCAAAGCAGATCAAGCATCTGATCTGCTGGTACTTACAGTGTAGCAAGGAATAGATTAAACAATTGCATGACTACATGTAAATCACAAGCTGTGATAGGTTCTGTGATGAAGGAATCTGAGAACCCATGAGTGGGTAACAAGAGGACACTGTTACTCTAGAGTTGCACTGTCCTGTTTGGTAGTCCTATGAATGGCTAGTTAGACTGAAATTTAAATTAATTAAAATTAAAAATTCAGTTTGTCAGTCATACTAGAGACACTTCAAGTGCCAGCAGCCACATGTGGGTAGTGGTCACCCTACTGAACAGGGCCGATCTGGAACATTTTCATTATTACAGAAAATTCTACATTGTATATGGCTGTTCTAGTGTGTGTGTGTGTGTGTGTGTGTGTGTGTGTGTGTGTGTGGTGGGGGAGGGCTCCGCCCGCAGGGCCCCCAGCTGCCACAGATGACAACAAGTCTACCAAGACATGATCTGCCTGGGGAGGAAAAGTGGCCCATCTCTCAAAGGAGAAGGGCCAAGAGCCTTTTCCTCAATGGGCTTTTAGCGGGTTCATTTTGCACAGGAATACAGGTACAGCTCATCAATCATTGTCAGGCAGTAAGGATCAAACAATAGATAACATACAAAGAACTATGAGGGCCTATTCTGAGTCAGGGTCTATTAGCTAAGGGGCTACAAAACTTGGGGACACAAACTCATTTCCTGCTGGGACCCTTATCATTTAATTGAGAGCATTCTTAGCAAAGCAGGTTTCACAGGATTTTAGGTATTCTTTCTCAGGCCTGATCATGGTGGGGAACCCGCCCTTTCCAGCACAGGGCTGCACCACCCTCTGTCATTGTTTCAGGCTTAAGTCAGGCAGGGGAAGTAAGACAGCCAAGGAATTAGAAGACTTCTTGCAGACAGAATGAAGACTCAGGCTATGTCAAAGGAGAGGGGTGAGGGTCCATCACCCCCTTTTGCTATAGCTCCCCAAGTCCTCCCCTGGGACCTCCGTGATCATGCCTGTCTTAGATTGTCCCTCCCTTGAGGAATCTTACCCATCATTGGCTAACTGATCATGCATTGGGGGCCAGGCGGGGTGAAGTAAAAGGGGCAGAGGTGGTGCCCCTGCCAGGGAGATAAGTTTCATCTCCTTAGTAGCTTATGGTCTGAAGGTTGTTTACTCAGCCTTCACCATGGGGATTACAGCTTCTGGAACCAGGCAGGGAGGTTCCCAACATTCTAGGGCATCTGGGGAGATTCCTTGAGAAAATCTGAGTTGAGTCCCACCAGAAAAGAAGGCATTAAATATGTGTGGAAAGGGAGGGGAAAGGCATTCCAGGCATAGGGAACAACACACGCACAGGCATGGAGGTAGCTGGGGAGCATGATGAGTCTCGAGCCAGCGTGGCTGGTGCACAGAACATGAAGCACACACCAAGCTGGATGAAACTGAAGGGGTGGGCTGAGGCCAGGCCATGCAGCCTTGCAGGCCATGGTAAAGAGTTTGGGTTTTATTTTTTGTACAATGGGAAGTCTCTGAAAGGCTCAAAGCCAGAGGTGGGGTGTGGGGATTAAATTTGCTTTTATAAAACACTTCAGTTTTGGAAAGATAATGGCCTCATAAGTCTGCAGAGCACTTTTCAAAGCTCATGCACGCTCATCACGATCTTGTGATTTTTCAGGCTGGTGTCCCAGGATGCCCCTTAGAGAAACAGGCCCCAGATGTGAGCTCCATTGCCATGGGCCACAGAGCGCGGTCTTTCTTCAGTGCCAAGCTCAGAGCTGTCCTCCCTTTTATTTTAAATTGTTTTCAAAGTACTAAAATAGTGCAAATTCATAAAATCACACTATTTTCTCGTGTTCTTTTTTCTACACAACAGAAGAGAGAGGAACGGGGAGAGACTGGCCAGTTTGGTCTTGGCCATTTGTGGAATGTGAACTAGTCTCATAATTTCTAAGATTATGTCTCTCTCCAGGCAGAGAGATAGGTAAGTTTTGCTACTGGTTTCTCATTCATTCTAAGACGCCTATTAGGTGCCTGTGGTGTGCTCCACGTGTCCTATGTTCTCACGAGTAAGACAGGCACGGAGGGTCCCTGCTGTGCTGGGACCGGTCCAGGTGGAAAACACGTGCTGTAAAATCACAAAGCACAGAGCTGTCCCGGAGAAGGGGTTGAGCAGCGTATTCCTTCCGTTCAGGAGGGAGACGTTACACTTGCCCTGAGGACTTCGGGGTGCAGTCTTTGTGCCCGGGTCAGCCCGGGCAGGTCACCTGACCTATGTCATGCACAGAACCCACTATTCCAACAGCTCTGCCACCCCCTTACAGAAGAGACAGTGAGGTTCAGGGAGGCTGAGCGGTGTGATCATGCAATGTGATCATGAAAAAAGGGGGGAGCTAGACTCAGAGCTTTCTCCCCCATATCTGGAGGCCTCTTTCTAGGGAGCTCCTCAGAGTTCTCAAGGAGAAAGACAGCATCAAAGATGGGCCCCGGAGGGCAAAGGAGAGCTGCGCCCACGCCGGCAGCGGCAAGGCTGACCCGCTGAATCCGCAGGGCCCTCAGGGCCCAGAATCCTCCTCTGCCTCTGCCTTCCCACCCTTCAAGTCAAATCACTTATGGAAAAAACTAAAGGAAACTATATCATTACCTTAAGTGGAAAATCAGTATCATTTACCATAAGTTGAGATAAATGTTAAAGATAAGTACAATCAAGATATGAATACTGCAGAAAGACAATGTTATACGATCATGAGTGTGCCCTGTGCTTGAAGGGTGCCCTGTTTCCTGTTAAAAAGGAGAAATCGAAGAGACTTTCTCTTTGATAATCAGATGGTCCAAAAGAGAACTGAATTATGATGAATTCAATGCTAATTTATGCCAACTCTGTAACTCCTAAAATTACCTCCTGCATCAAAGTGGTGGGTACCCCACCTTGGGCAATGCCTCTTCACCGGAAGGGGGTGAGGGTCCTTAGGAGGTCGCCTAGATCCCTGGTAACAGGAGCCTCCTTCCTTCCCAGCATCTGTGGTAGAACTTGTTTGAGCCCCATTAGTCAGATGGCCTAACACTGAGCCTGTTCCCTCACCTGGAAAACCCTGATGACCATCGTCCCTGCCTACAGGTGGTTGTGTCTGGCCCAGGGGAAGGTGATCAGCATCAGCAGCATCATCCCAACTTAAACGTGGAGGGCCTGCTCCGTCCCCACTACCCAGGCTGGTCCTCTATCCCTGCTCCTCTCTCAGCTGTCACCTTTCCTGCTCCAAGGCCGTGCTCCCTCCGGGAAGGGCCTCAGGCCATCTCAGCTGTTAGGCTGTGCAGGGCTGCCTGGTGTCCACACTGGTCACAGGACTGCAGGGGTCAAACATGTCCAGCAGGAAACGGAGAAGTAAGGCTCCCTAAGGCGGTAAAGGGCCTGGACAGTGATTCAGGGGTCCAGTTTCCAGGACAGTGATGTGAGCCTGAACACGCGGCTTATCCCTCTAGAGGTCTAGCCTCCCCTTCTAACTTAAGGTCCCATCTTCAGAGACTCTAGGAGCTCTCCCCTTCTCTCCCTCTGAATAGGCTGTCCTCGGAATGAGGAAAGACCTGGGGCCACGGAGGCCTCATAACCTGGTTTCCAGATGGCCCCCCAGAGCCAGAGGGACCAGCTTCCTCTGAGCTGAGCCTTCCGTCTGCCTGGCCACTGAGGAGGGTCAGCGCGCCCCCTGGCGGGGATGGGGAGAAAGGCTCCCAGGGCTGTGGGATGCCTCTGAACAGATGATGGCTGGACATCCCGCCAGAAGGACTCTAGCCCAGCCCTCTCATTTTCCAAATAAGGAAACTGAGGTTCACAGGAGCGGAAGATACTCCCTCGGGTACAGTTTCCAGATAAAACACAGGACTCCTAGTTAAATTTGAATTTCAGATGAACAAGGAATGATTTTTTTAAGTTTGAGTTATTGTTCCATGCGACATTTATGACATACTTCTATCAGAAAATTATTTGTTAGGGACCTGAAACTCAAGTGTAACCAGGTGTCTTGTCTTTCTCTTTGCTATATCTGGCAACTCTGCACCCGAGCAAACCCACTAAGTCAAGGCCTGAGGTCAGACTGCGGCCCAGACAGGGGTCAGGGCTTCTGCCCTGTACCTGATGGATGAATATTTTTCACTAGCAGCTGTGCCCAGTGCTCAGCAGGGGCGTGGGAAAGGCTGACAGTATTCTGGGAGAGAGCGAGTGGAAGGGTATCTGAATACTGACTTTGATGATCCCAGGAGTGCTTTGAATGTAAGAAGAGAGATGGGTCCTCCCCCCACCCCCACCAATTCGATTAAAACAAAAACCAAAAACAACCTTTGAGGCCTTTGGTAATAGAGTTGCCAGACATCCCTGGCCCAGTCTGATTTACCAGATTGGGGAGGGGCCTGGGCATCTGCATTTCTAAAAGTCCTCCAGGTGATTCTGATGCATGGCAAAGATGGAGCCCCCCCACCCAGGTCAGCTATGTGGAAGAACAGAAAACTGGTAGATATCAGCAATTGTCAGTCTTCATTATGCATAGGATTCGGTGGGAACGGGAGGAGCGGGGAGGGGGAGGGTTAAAGACGCACATTCCCAGCCCCCTTTGTTTCCAAGGGGTCTGACTGAGTGGACCCAGCCTGGGG